GATGTCATGTTTTATACCCCATAAAATGAAGTAATAGGATTCTTTCCCTCTCTTCCATCATGCAGACTCAGTGGAGTATCATCCAGAAAAAGAATTCTATTAAGGAATACTCAGTACCGGGGATCGTGGGGGAGGTGGAGGAGAAGAAGAATCTTGTATTGGTCTTGAAGATTCAGAAGGCTGTTCCTTTATTGACACCTTTTCTGATCTTGAAAGTTCAGGAGGCCTCTTGAGGAGTAAGGTTTCCTTTGGGCTTGAAGATTCAGGTGACCTGCTCTTTGGTGATATTTGTCTTGGCCTCGAAGCTTCAGGTGATCGCTTCCTTGGTGAGACTCGTCTTGGCCTCGAAGCTTCAGGTGATCGCTTCCTTGGTGAGACTCGTCTTGATCTTAAAGATTCAGGTGATCGCTTCCTTGGTGAGACTCGTCTTGATCTTAAAGATTCAGGTGAGCTTTCTGATGATGATGGCCTTCGTCTTAAACGTTCAGATGTCCTCCTCTTTGGTGATGCTCGTCTTGGCCTTGACAATGTAGGTGAATTGTGGGGTGAGGGTTCTCTTTGCCTTGAATATTCATGTGATCTATGTGAAGATATTCGCTTTGGGGGTGAACGCTCAGGAGATCTATACTTGTGTTGCCGCTGCTGATCCTGTTCTGACATTTTCATAGCTTGAAGTGTCATCTGCTGAGCCTACAAAATCAAATTCATATTTTGTTGCTCCTTATTTAACTGCAGATTTATATTCACCAACATTCAGATCTCAGATTACTTTTCATCATAACTGAACTATGGTTTCACTTTTCATGTTTTAAAATTTTTCTTTTGCTAGTTCTCTTCATGTGTTTCTCCTCTACATCTATTATTCTGTAATATCTCCCACCTTGCTCTTAAGTAAAGCTTAACACAAACACAATGAATACAGCAGCCCACAACTTAAGACCACAATTGAGCCCAAAATTTCTGTTGTTAAGTAAGACATTGGTTAAGTGAGTTTTACCCCAATTTATGACAATTCTTGCCTCGGTTGTTAAGTGAATCACTGCAGTTGATCAATTAGGAACTGTGCTGTTGAGTGAATCTGGCTTTTCCGTTGACTTTGCTTGTCAGAAGATCCCATAAGGTGGATCACAGGACTTTGGGACACAGCAAAGGTCATAAATAGGAACCAGTGGCCAAGCATCTGAATTTTGATCACAAGGGATCATGGGGATGCTGCAAAGGTCAGTCATAAGTCACATTTTTCAGTGCCATTGTAACTTCGAACAGTCATTAGCCAACTGTTGTAAGTCAAGGACTATCTGTAAATATGGTACCACTGGCATATCTTTAATTCATGAATTCACTCATTTGTATATTTCAATCATGCACAAATTTGGCAAAAAAAACCACCCCTTCCCATGAGGTAATTTCTCTCCATTGAACCCATTCCCTAGTACAGGTAATCTTAGACTTACAACAGTTTGCTGAGTGACCGTTCAAAGTTACAACGGCACTGAAAAAAAGTGTCTTATGACCATTTTTCACACCTATGACTGCTGCAGCATGCATGCCCATTGTCACATGATTTACATTTGGATGCTTGACAATTGACTCACGTTTATGATGGCTGCAGTGTCCTGTGGACACGTGATCACCTTTTGCGACCTTCTGACAGTCAGAGTCAATGGGGAAATCAGATTCACTTATCAACCCGGTGACTAATTTTACAACTGCAGTGATTCACTTAACAACTAAGCCAAGAAATGTCGCAAATTAGGACAAAGCTCACTTAACAAATTTCTCATTTAGTAACATAAATTTTGGACTCAACTGAGGTTGCACGTTACCTGTAGTAGATGCTCAGTCATAACTTGGCCCTTTGATGCACCGCATTGCACAAGAAATGATTTCTTCAGAATGCTGTGGGAACTGGCAAACTAGGCATGACTCCCAGCCAAGTCAATTCCCTGTCTTGCGTACTCTTTCCCTCTAACCCTGTCACGTACCAGAAGCAGGGCTTGTTGGTTGATGACTGATTGTTGCTGTGCTGCTGCCTGGTTAGGATCCACTGAAGGCATCATGGGCTGAGTCATCATCATACCTGAAAGCAAAAGTGTGTGTGTGTGTGGGGGGGGTTTTCACATAGAATCACAACGCATATGTCCCCACACGCTGTTAAATGCACAGCAATTCTTGCGTAAGCTACAAACAGGAAACTTCCACTTGAATGAAAAATGTATAAGATGCGAATGCTGTCCAAAGTCCATTGGAATTGGCAGGGGGGTAATAAATTCAAATAAAAAGTTTAAAAGATGATTGCATTCCTAGGGGAATTATCACGGCCAGAGGATAAGAATGAAGAAATTAATATTATAACTGGATGAAAAACAAGCAGTGGCTTCTTCTTATAGTGTTTATACCAAGGGTGTCAAACTAGATTTCTTTGAGGGCCGGATCAGCATTATAGTTCTCCTTGGTGGGTGGGCTGGCCAGGCTGGGGAAGATGGGACGGATGTCTCCTGCAGCACTCTGCCAGCCAAAACGAGGCCTCCCTGTGCCCCATTTTGGCTGCCAGAGGCACTGGGGGCTTGTCCTTTGCTATTTCCAGGCCAGCCCGCAGGCCCTGAGTTTGACATTCCTGGTTTATACCAATAGTAAGCAGATAGCAACTGAAACCAATCCAAACTATGAGACATTGATATTTCAGGCTCAATTATGGTCATAAGTCTGCCAGACCGATGTTTATCCACTGGCAGACTATCAGGGATCATGATAAACAAGAAGCATAGCCCAATTTAAAAAAAACAAAAAACTACACACATATGTACATCAAAATTACATTTTGAGGATGGATTTAAGCATGTGTCAAACTATAAAAAAGTATTTGCAAATAAAATATTTTTTTATAAAAACATGTTCATAATCATGCAATTATAATGAGGGAAGCAAGTAGCAAAGAATGGAACTGATAGACAAAAATGCTTTAATCCAGGGGTGTCAAACTTCATACGCAGGCCACACCCACCCCAGCTTCGCAAATGGGGGAAACGTCGTGATACGTCACATGACAGCAATGTGACGGTGTGAGTTTGACACCCATGCTTTAATCACTTGCAATGTGATCCTTTAATACTGGAAAACCTAACATTGTTAGGAAGATTGCGGGCTTCTCCCAGGGGCTGGGCTTTTTCTTCTCTGCTGGGTTTCATCCCACCTGAGCCCTCAAGTTCTTGTGTTCTTGTTACCTGGCATTCCCGGCATGGTGGCTGGCATCATTCCTCCCATAACTGGCATAGATGGAAAAGCTGGCATAGTCATCATTCCAGGATAACCTGATGGATGGAGAGAAGAGAGTCTGGCTGATTATGGCTCCCTGTTTTGGGTTGCACAAACCTGGATGACCGCTAGATTGCAACAATATTCTATCCCTGTGTTTGTCTGGAGTTTTGCAGGCCAGATCTGATGGCCCTAAATAAAATCCAAAGCCCTTACGCCACAAAAGATTTTAAGGGTGATAAGCAGCACCTTGAATTGCACATGGAAGCCAAACAGGAACCAGTGCAGCTTGCAAAGCAATAGAGGCACGTGAGTCTAACACAATCTCTCTACCACAGCTCACGCAGCTGCATTTTGGATCAGCTGTAGCTTCTGGATGGTCTTCAAGGGAAGCCCTATGTAGATTATTCACTGTATTTTATAATACTGACATACTGCTAGTTATATTATTGTTACGTATGGGAACATATGTTTTACCTTTGTAAAAGATACCTGCAGTTACAAATACATTTAATAGTATGAGCATTGTAACATTTTTTTACATTTCCCCCTCTAAAGGAATTATATTTGAATATATTTGTATTTGAAGCATATGGAATTCTATACCACAGTTTTTAGAGATTTTTCATGTTGTCCTTGTACAGTTGTTTTCCTTCCCCCCACTCCCCACCCTTTCTTTTTTTAACCTCCCTAGATGCAGGGAGAAATATTTAGGCCAATAATCCTCATCCCAGAAATATTTAGGCCAAATAACCCTCATCCCAGCAGTATGGATAATAAGCCTTGATTCCAGAATTGCTAAAAAAGAACAGTTGCAGGAGCCACCACCTATCCTACCAAGTAAGTCCCTGTTGTTCTCCTCCCCGTATTCAAACTCATACCTGAATAGACTCCTTGATTCATAGGTCCAATTTTCCCACCTCCTTTCATACGACCAGTCAGGCTTGCCTCACTTTCCATATCCTGCAGAGAGGCAGGGGGGGAGGAAAAAAGAGATATCAACATTTAGTTTCAACTCTAGCTACTCCTGGAGATCATATATGTTTGGCAAAGAGGCAGTGATCACAAACACCACCACTGTTCTGTTCTCGGTGCCCACTGGTATCAGAAAGTGATGTATGAGGAACAGCAAAAAAAATTAAATAAGATTAGACTTACTGACATATGAGGTCTGGAGCCAGCATGTAACAGAGGTTTAAAGAGGCCATCCAGGTAGTGATCCATTTCTCTAGGGGGAGTTGGACTATTCATGATGTCTAATTCGCGAAGGGGAGGAGGAAGGGATAAAAACAATCCTTGTTAATCAAAGAAATAAAACTCCTGTCAATCTCCATTACTATCCCTTGCTCATTTCCTTCATCTATCCTCAATGCATTAGTTGAGTATCTCCCCCTCCTGCCCAAGGTCCAAATATGGGGAGCTTTTGTGGCTTCAGGACAGTAGTGGGATCCTACCTTAGTCGCTACCAGTTTGGTGGGTGATCACGTGTGCATGCATGCGCACCCCTAATGTGCGCGCACCTAACAAGCCAATCAGCTGACAGGATGAAGAAACGAAAATCTAGGAGTGACCCTCCCACCCTCCCATGCACTTTTTGGTCTTTTATCCTCTCAGCTCTTTGTCGGAGGCTTTCCCCCCCCCTCCTCTCAGCTGATGGAGGCCTTTTTTTTTTTTTACTACCGGGTAGTGACTTTTACTACTGGTTCAGGTGAACTGGGACGAACCAGTAGCATACCACCACTGGTTCAGGATGCAAAGATCAATCTCTCCCCAGCATTCTCAGATGCCTTTGAACTCCTGACCTGAGATGGAGACTCACCTGGATGGACCGCCTTGTTAAACGTGGGAGGCAGGGGAGGTGGAGGGAAAGAAGGGGCCTTAAAGGTGGGTGCAGGAGGGATATCCAAGCACATCCTATCAAAAAGAGAAATAAGAGTGGGGCCTCAAAAGCAGAGAGTTCTGGGGATACAAGAGAGAGGTTGCTGGGGACGGGAGGTAATCAGGCAGCCACTTACCTGTTTGGAGAGTTCTTTTGAAAGTAGCTCACATCCCTCTCAGGGTGAATAGGATAATTAGAGGAGGACTGAGAAGGGCAATTTACTTCCTCCATTTCACCAATGAGATCCAACACAAAGTCACAGCCTGCTAAATCCTGCCAATTGTTGCCTGTGAACATTGATACGGACCATCCGCGAGGGACTGTATCCAGACCTCTGAGATCAACAAAGAGAGGAGACGTAGTGTCACAGGAAGTAGCAGAGGATGATATGAAGCAGTGAAAAGGATCAGGAAGATGGTGTGAGTAGGGAACAGGGAGGAAAATCATATGTTCCTCCTCCAGCTTCTGTATTTCTTAAAGGTAAGGTCCTCTTGCACTAGTGCTAGTTGTGCTAGTTGTTTCTGGCTCTAGGGGGCGGTGCTCATCTCGGTTATAAAGCCGAAGAGCCAGCGCTGTCCGAAGACGTCTCTGTGATCATGTGGCTAGCATGAATAAATGCCGAAGGTGCATGGAACACTGTTATCTTCCCGCCAAAGTGGTCCCTATTTTTCTACTTGCATTTTTACATGTTTTCGAACCGCTAGGTTGGCAGAAGCGGGAAAAGTAACGGGAGCTCACTCCATTACGCAGTGCTAGGGATTCAAACTGCCAACCTTTCTGATTGACAAGCTCAATGTCTTAGTCACTGAGCCACCACATCCCTTCTGTATTTCTTATGTGCTGGTTAACACCTCACATAAACAATATGTATAAGAATATCATAAGAAAAGCTAATAAATTTCAGGTTATCATAGGGTATATGCAACAGAGATAAGAGTTGGACTTTTGAAAATTAATGAATAACCTGAAAGAATATCAAATCTCTCACTGCAGAAGAGTCACTACTGAATAATGAATAAGGGCCATTGAATTCAGAGGCGATTGTTTCAAGAGTAAATGAAATAAACATTATCATTTTCCTTCAAACTTCTGCTTTTTCAAGTCTCTGAACTATCTTGCAAAGTAATAAAAGATATGTTTGTAGATCATTTGGATGAGTCTTTAAAGAAACGGGAGATCTCTGTTGGTGATTAGAAATTCTATCAAAGAATACAGTCTTTAGCTCTGGTGGACATCTAAAAGCAACTAACTGGGTTTTTTGAAAAAAGAGGCAAATCCCAATTTCTCTTTGCCTTTAGATTACCTTGAGTTCAGGATCCAGCCTGCATATTGCTCTCCTGTGGTCCAAGATTCTACTTCTGCTGAAATCCTCTCCTCTAAACCAAAGAAAAAGAGAGTTTAAAAACCATGAATATAACCTATAAGAAAATCTTGCTATACTGTATAATGCATGCCAGCTAGTCATATTTTTTTCCTATTTTCCCTGCTCCCCCAAATATATTGTTTCATATATTGTTTAATTCTGCAAGGTTGGATTCTTCTGGGCACCTCTCTAGTAGGTACACAGGATGCCATCCTGATAATGGAAAGGACGGCCAAAAGTAAATGGGCATACCAGGTGGCAGTGTGAGCAGCTCACTGTAGATGTGAGATTGACAGCTTAATGTTACATATTTATTCTGAAATATTGAAAGCTCTGCTTTTTTTTACTCCTGTTTTTACTCCCTATACCCTCAATTTTAAAACATATAGCAGACTGAGGTTCAACTGTTATGTCTCTTTCTCCAACCTGTCTATCATAGAGGACTGAGAGATACTGATTTCATAGTGATACAACTGGATGACTCCTGTATTTTAATGGCCCAGTCTGTTCTCAGGCCCTGGATTTCTGACTTTGCTCTCATGCTAGCAATGCACGATAACTGTGATGGCAAACCTATAGCATGTGTGCCAGAAGTAGCACACAGAGCCATCTCTCTGGGCACACCAGCCATCACCCATTCCTCTTCCGGGTTCCAGCATGCACATGGACGCTGGCCAGCTGGTCTTCGCACATGGGAGTGCCAGAAACTAGAAGAGCAGCTCCCTGGCATGCATGCATGTGCCAGGAAGTTGAGCTTCCAGTTTCTGATGCGCCAGCTGATCTTCACGCGCGAATGCATGCCAGAAACCAGAAGACCAGGTGGCCGACGTGCATGCACACACTGGAAGTTGGAAGCTCAGCTTCCCATTGCACGCATGCACACTGGGGGAGCTGCTCTTCTGGTGTCCGGTGTTCTCCCCTGCGCACGCTCCCATTTTGGCACCCAGGGCCGAAAAGGTTCACCAAAACTGCACTATAAATTGCAGTGGGACCGGAAACCTTTGTCTCCCTGTAGACCCAAAGAAAAACAATGGAACATTTTGTACGAAGGTTTGTTGTACTTGCAGTCTTGCTAATCAGACTAAAACCTTTGGAACAGAGAGCTTCAGTATATTCCACATACAGTTCCACAGTTCACTGGTTTTGAAAATGCTACTCCCGAAAACATAAAGCAAGATAAGAAACAATGGATGGAAACTAATCGAGGAGAGAAGCAACCTGGAATTAAGGAGAAACTTCCTAAGGGTGAGAACAATTAACCCGTGGAACAACTTGTCTTCAGAAATTGTGGGTGCTTCATCACTGGAGGTTTTTAAGAAGAGACTGGACAGTCACTTGTCTGAAATGGTGTAGGGCAGTGGTCCCCAACCTTTTTTATGCCGCGGCCCGGTACCGGCATCAGCTGGGTGCCGCCATCTTGTTTTGATGAAAAAGTGCTTCCGGTGAGCTCACCGGAAGCACTTTTTCATCAAAACAAGATGGCGGCGCCCAGCAAACCAGCAGCCCGGTAGGATTTGTTCCACGGACCGGTACTGGTCCGCGGACCGGTGGTTGGGGACCCCTGGTGTAGGGTCTCCTGCTTGAGCAAGGGGTCAGATAGAAGACCTCCAAGATCCCTTCCCATTGATTCAGAGGTGGTATTCAGCAGGGTTTGACCAGTTCTGGAGAACCGGTAGCGGAAATTTTGAGTAGTTCGGAGAACCGGCAAATCCCACCTCTGACTGAAGATTTTACAGTATCCTTCCCCTGCCACGCCCACCAAGCCACGCCCACAGAACCGGTAGTAAAACAATTTGAATCTCACCACTACATTGATTGACTGAGTGCTGAATAGGAGAGCAACGATTACCTTTATAAGTGCAGACTTCTAGCACCATCTTTCCTTTCCTCTGATTGGCAGTCCACTCCAGGCGGGTGGGAGGGAAACTGCGGGACAGCTCCAAGTAACTCTCCATCTGCTTCATGGAGGTTAAGAGTTTGCGCTGGCACATGCCGTTGTAGCCCTCCAGACCATGGTCTGACACAAACCTACATCCCAGCAAATGAAGAGCCTTCAGTAACCACTGCTGCTATTTCAATGCTTCCCGAAACCCAGCGAGGAAAAAGCCCCGCTTCTTACTTCAGCAGAGGTTTCTCCAGAGCTGGTGAAGGTGCGAAGGCACTCAGGAGGGTAGCCATCAATACCCAGCCTCGTTGGCATTGCTCCAGATCTGGGTTCTTCCACAGCTGGGTGGCCACTTGGCTCAGCAGTTCATCGCGTAGTGGGACGCCGGCCACTCCTCGGCTTGCTATGTAGTTCCCTAGAAGCTGTTCATGGATGGTCATCAAATCCCGGTCATTGATGAATCGCAAAATCTGCAGGAAGAGGAAGGGATGTACAAGAAAAATAAGGGGCACTGATGTCAGATATGGATGGAAAAATCTCATCTCTGACCCCTTCTTACCATCCTTATAAGAAGTCAGGGATAGGTTAGTCCCTGGGCACAACAGCCCAGGACTCCCAAAATTCAAAGAAAGTTTTAGCGCACATACCCCATCTCTTTTATAGAAATTAGGATTACATTATGGAGCCTACACATTAGATAGAATGCAAGCAGAGAATTAATTTATAGTTCTATTTTGGAAGACTAAAATTCTGAAAATATCAAAAAACTTCCGTCTTTCTTGAAAATATAATTCTCCTTCTCTATCACTAAACCTAAACTGGAGATGCCAGGAATTGAACCTGAAACTTTCTACACACTAAAATGTCAATAACCTACTGGTGATTGTTTTCCCTTTCTATCCATCTTAGCGAAGTGGGTTTATTTTTCTTATTACAAGAAATGCAGTAAGGAGGTAAGGAGATATATTAATTGTTAGAAATTTAGGATTAGTGTGCTATTCCTGTTCTTTCTTCTGTCTTTCTATCCTCAGAGTATTACCTGTAATATCTCTAGGTACAAGCAACAGTAAAAGGTGATTTTCCTTCTTTTTATATAGAAAATCCAGTTAAAATGTTTAAAAGAAAACAGTATAATTAACAATGATTAAAAAGTAAGGTTTCTTCTTCCAAGATTATAAAATTATGACATATATAGTTACATAACATAAACACATAATAAAGGTAATATATTAATTGCATTGTTCCTGACATTGGTATCTTATCAGTTGCCCCCTTGAATCACACCCAAGTAACAAACCATTTTCTGATAAGCACAGAAACCTGAGGAGAGATAAGGACTGTTCAATATATTTTAAAAAGCCATATGAAGTTTCTGGACAGAGTCACTGATCAAAGGTATTGTGATAGCTTCCCATTCATGCTTTACCCACAGAAAGGTTGTCTGAGCCTTTAGGTACAATTCTAAACACAATTTAGATAACAGATCCAAAGTAATCCTGTGGTTTCTGGTCAAAAAAGATTCTGCATAATAGGGAGGAAATTGTGAAAACAAATGAGAGGCAAGATTTTGTTGGGAATAGCCAGAGAAGCTGCATAGGCCAGAAGAAACTCAAGATTGAGTTTTCAAAATTGTTCTCCCAGCTCCTTCTGTCCCCTTCTTTTCACCAACAGCTCCATGCTGCACTGAGTGGTAGGAAGAAGGGAAGACTGGCAAACAGCCCTGTGTATATGAGAACATGTCTAACTAAAGCAGGGGTCAGCAACCTGCGGCTCTGGAGCCGCATGTGGCTCTTTCATCCCTCTGCTGCGGCTCCCTGTTGCCAATTGGCTCCACAACTCATAGGGCTTTAGTAACCTAAAGTACAGGTAGAGGAAAAAGGACGCCGCACTAGGAGGAGACTCTATGGTGGGGGAATAGAGTCTGGTCAACTCCAGAATTGAACGGGGGCTTCCAGTTAGGACCTTTGTGGCTCTCTGAGTCTTTAAGGTTGCCAATCCCTGAGCTAAATATATGCCCATTCTCCCATCTGACCTCTGAAATCATATCTGAAAGGAGAAGACAGGGCTCAGACACTTGCACAGGATCCAGTTTAGGCACAAGCACAATCCTTTCTTGTTATTCTTAATTGCTGAAAACCTCTTTTTCTACATTCCATTCTAAAGCCATTGAACTACAAATGTTAGCATCTAGAAGACTTTTGGGCCTGGCCTGGTCATCCAGAATTTCCTTCCTTGGAAGCTCCTTGAAATCCTTCTGTTACAGGAGTAAAAGCCTGGGATGACCTTGAGGTTCCTGGAAGATCCTTCTACCCTGAAATAGCATAAGATCCTCTACAGCCTTCATAAGTTTAGTTTGTTAAATCCGTGTCTTTATTTAAATCATGCTCTAGATTTAAACTGGATTTGATTTCATTTTTTGACCAAGCCGGGGAAGTAGTTTCGGGTTGTGGGTTCAGTTGCTTCTTTGTTTCTTCTTACCAGCTTGTTGAGCTGTAGAGCGTTTTGTCTGTGCTCAGTCTGGAGTTGGGTCAAAGGCTCTTGCAAGGGCTGTCCAAGGGCTGGAAAACTCACAACCTGCAAAGAACCAAAGACAGAGAGATGGTGGGAAAGTGGCACTACAGGCATTTAGGTCACAATTCCTCCCCCCCCACCCCCCGCACATACCTCCATTTTAGTTATGCATATATTTGTAGCCTGCTTTTATTATCTTTATAAATAACTCAAGGCGGTGATCATATCCAACACACCTTCCTCCTCTTATTTTTTTCTCACAACAACAACCTTGTGAAGTGGGTTGAGCTAAGACAGAGTGACTGGCCAATGATCACCCAGCTGGCTTTCATGGCTAAGGCGGAACCTGAACTCACAGTCTCCTACTTTCTAGCATTTGTTGACAGGTGAGCAAGCATAAGCTAAAGGACCTTTTTCACGTATGTCATGGCAGCCACAGCCAAGGGAAAGGAAAGACGTTTAGATGCCCAGTAGACTGGAAGTTGAGGTGACAATGCTGCAGCCCACCTTGCTCACAAGACCTACTTTGTCCATCCAACAGACAAGAAACAGGAAAACGGTCCCTGCAGACTGTTCTGGACATCAGGAAATTAGGGAACACTCATTTACGGACTCTGCAGTCTTACCTGAAAGTGAGTTTTGATAAATGCAGAGAAGGGAAAGTTGTTAATATCATGAGGGAGAGAGAAGGTAGCGTTTGCTTTGACTTCTGGAAGGGAGACTTCAGTGACTTGATTGCTCTGAGCATGATGGTGATCTAAAAAAAGATGGAAAAGGGACTAAGTTAAAGCTCTTCCCCGTGTGAAAAGCGAGTGTAAATTAACCCATGAAGACTTGAAAAGTTATTTTCAGTGCAGGGATATGCACCCATGTATTTTTCCTGGGAGCAATGCAGTATAAATCTCCTATAAAGTTTGCTGTAATGATCAATGCTTACATTTATGAACATAGCATGTTGCAGTCAATAGGCTCCAGGAATGAGCAGACTGGGGGCCCTCTTCATATGTAAGGTAAAGGCTCCCCTTGCACATATGTGATAGTTGTTTCCGGCTCTAAGGGGCAGTGCTCATCTCTGTTACAAGGCTGAAGAGCCAGCGCTGTCCGAAGACGTCTCTGTGGTCATGCGACCGGCATGACTAAATGCCAAAGGTGCACGGAACTCTGTTACCTTCCCATCAAAGTGGTCCCTATTTTTTTCTACTTGCATTTTTACATGCTTTCGAACTGCTAGGTTGGCAGAAGCTGGGACAAGTAACGGGAGCTCACTCGGTTACGTGGTGCTAGGGATTCGAACCGCCAAACTGCCAACCTTTCTAATTGACAAGCTCAGTGTCTTAGCCACTGAGCCACCGCACCCTATCTTCATATCTATGGACTTCAATTCCCAGAATTCATTAGCAGCTTTGCAATTGCAGAGAATTCAGGGAGTGGAAGTCCACCAATATAAAGCGGGCCAAGCTGAGAAAAGTTGTATTACACTGACTGTGACATTTCCAAAATCCTTTTGGTTGTCAAAAGGAATTATCTGGCTGAGCTAGAATACTTACTGGCTTTCTCCTGCTCATTCTTGTCAATGTTACCCTTTTGCTTAATAGTGGGACATGCTTATAGATGCCAGTGATTTCAGGGGATTTTTTTTTCAGCCAAGGAATCTTGCCCACTGACTTTGATCATGGAATTATTTTTCCCCAATCCAGCAATAGCCAAAGTCCAAATTATATGGATTTTATAAATGGCTGCTACAAAATATGAAGAGGTTGCCCAACACACTCAGTGATATTTTTGTAAACAAGGTTTCCATGTGATTACAGAAAGTCCTTGTCTTACAACCATTTGTTTAGTGACCATTCAAAATCATTTGTTACAACTTTACTGAAAAAAAATGCTTACAGCTGGACATCATACTTATGACCGTTACAACATTTACATGGTCATGTGATCAAAATTTGGGCACTTGGCATGTATTTAGGCAGCATCTGGGAGGTAAGGTGATCACTAGGTGCAACCTTTCCAGACGACTTCAAACAAGCAAAGTTAATGGGGTGAAATGGATTCGCTTAACAACCATATTGTTCACTTAACAACTGCAGTGATTCACTTAACAAATGTAACCAAAAGGGTTATAAAATCAGGTGTAATTCACTTTACAACTGCCTTGCAAGGAGAGGGAAATTCTGTTTCCAATTGTGGTCATAACTTGAGGACTATCTACTGTGATTGCTACTATTTCATTGCAACCTATGAGTTCGCGAACAATTACAGTGATATGGTGAATAATATTTCAGTTCCTTAGAGAGAAAGATGTATCCTATAAACTAGATAACTTTAAGAAGTTGCTCTATCCATTTCTTCTATTTATGGATCTGCAACAGTTTACTATTTAAAAACCCAGAAAACAACCCTGCAATTGTTGGCCAATGGGAGGGACATAGAAAGTGTTAGTCAGCTGGCCCTGTGCCTTTGTTTTTACTCTTCTCTCACATGTCCATTTTGCAGCCACAATGCAGAGAGACATCCAACCACAATGCTGAAGAACAATAAAACTATTCCTGAGAGCAATAGGCAGAAGGGAAGAAGATACTACGGCTCTTTGGCTTCAAGCGGGAACTCAAAAGGAGCAAAGAGATAGGATGAGGCAAGAGTGCCCCCCAGTGGAAAACCACCATCATGTATCTCCAGAGGGGATGCAGTAAAACTGTCTTTGGACCACTCCCTCCGGAGCAGAAGCTGAGGTGAGCCATTGATTGCCAGATCCTCATATTTTTTTGTGTGAAAGGAATGC